GGGTTAGGTTTAGGGTAGGTTTAGCGTTAGGGTTAGGGTTATTTTTAGGGTTATGTTACAGCACGCTTCTGTCGGTGCGCTGTTGTCGCGCGGTTTTGACGGTGCGGTTTTGTCACCGCGCTTTAGTCACACGCGCTTTAGTCTACCGCGGTTTTGTGGTGGAACCGTCTTACGTTTCTTGGAGGCAGAAGAGGCCTTTTGTTTGAGGCCTGCAGCAATACCCTGTCTAATGGCCTCAGTAATGATGGCCGCCATATCAGGTGAGGATGCACTGTTACACAGGCTGGCAGCTACCTGTGCCGTTAGGGAAGCAATAGAACCTGCGCGCCCTGGGCTGTCCGTCCCTTCCGGGGCAGAGGGAGAAAGGGCCTCCTCAGTATCTAGATCCTCAATTCCAGTTCCCTCACTGTCTGTGGAGAGAACTTCCTCAGGGTCTGGGGCCTCGGTCGGTGCAGGATTCTCAGAAGGAGAGGTAACTGCCACCACTTGGGACACTGCCTCCGACTGTTTCTGCGCCTCCTTTTGGGCCTTGGCAATTTGTTTGTCTAGGGCCTTTTGCCTCCTGAGTTCTGCTCTGTGTGGCCTTAGACTTGCCCTTGGTTCTGCCTCCCTTCTTAGGGGGAGGGGGCTTGCGCCTGCTGGGTAGGCAAAGGGTTGATGGGCCTTTTAGAGGGTCATCCAACAAGGGGGATGAGGCCTCTCCTGCACCTTCATCCATACTGCAAAACTGTCTAACTAGCTGCGTAAGGTTAATCAAAGGAGGTGGTTATCCCAATTAAGGGCACACCAGGGCCCGGCTTCTGGGAATATGAGAGCAGATAGTGGCCCCAATGGACAGGCACACCTGGGCCTGTCCCTTGCCCGCAACAAGAGACCCGCTGGCCCCTGTGCCAAAACTCTCAAGCCTTAGCGAGGTAGGGTAATCAATTCCCTGCTGAGGGAACAAGGCAGTTGGCCCCAAATACTGTCTATCCTTCAAAACTAGCTGTAATCCTTACTGCAGAAGACCTGTAAGCCTAAAGAGAGTCTGCTGGAGTGGATATGGAAGGGGCAGCTCCAATTAGACCCAATGATTTGCAATTAGCGACCGTCTCACACTTACGACCAACCAAAATTTATTGCTTTTTCGCACCAAATTGGACCTCAAGATGGCGTCCGCCACCTGTTCAGTGCCCAAAATGGCAGGGGCAGCTCCAATTAGACCCAATGATTCGCAATTAGCGACCATCTCGCACTTACGACCAACCAAAAATTATTGCTTTTCGCTCCAAATTGGACCTCAAGATGGCGTCTGCCATCTGCTCGGCGCCCAGGCCATTCAACATCTTAGGGAACCTAAGGGGAAGGGAAAAAGAGAAATTTTAAGAAATAAAAGGTCAAGAAAAGAAATTAGGACAATATTCAGGGAGAGATCAGAAGGCACGTCTAGTTCAAATGGCTGCTGAGTCACAAAAGCTGGGGACCTCAGCAGGAACAGGCGGGACTTAAACTTTGCAGACTCAGTTCTATTGGATGGTAGATGAGTATAACCCACACAGGGATGCTGTCTCCACTGAGTCAGGAAAATNTTGAGTTGTAAGCCGCCCTGAGTCCCCCCAGGGAAAAGGGCGGCATGTAAATAAACTTCAAATACAAATACAAAAAATACAAAAATAACAGCCCAGACCCTAAGCATGGGCTGGATGCTGTCTCCACTTCTTCAGAAAATGAGCATATCAGGTAAGCTAACGCTACATTTTCCTGACTCAGTGGAGACAGTATCCCTGTGTGGGACATACCATAGCTTGTCCAGCATCACGGGAGGGAAAGTGTCCAGGACAAATCCCCTAGAGCAATCCTGACCTGCTGCAAGACTCTCCTCCCAAAGGCCACATCAGCCGAGGTGGACGGAGATGACCACATTGCCGCCCTGCACCCCTCCTGTAATAGTGCCCTAGTGCCCCAGGCGGCCGAAGCGGCCGCTCTACATTTTGAGTGAGTTGTGATGTTATCTGGAATGGGCTGTACCTGAGAGGAATATGCCCTTGCAATGCATGCCCTGATCCACCTCCCCAAGGAGGAAGAGGATGCCTTTAGACCCATGGAACCTGGTTGAAAAGAAACAAATAGGGCCTCTGTACGATGGAAAGACAACGTTCTATGTAAGTATATCTTCAAGGCCCTTTGGACATCTAGAGTGTGCCAGCTGTGTTCAAGGCGATGGACCGGCTGAGGGCAGAAGTTGGGTAGAACCAATTCCTGCGCGCGCTGAAAGATAGAGTTCACCTTGGGTATGAACGCCGGATCCACCCTAAGAACCACCTGGTCAGAATAGAAAGTGCACAAGTCCTGCTGCATGGAGAGGGCCGCTAGCTCTGAAATCCGACGGGCAGATGTGATGGCCACTAGAAACAGAACTTTTTGCGACATATAGAGAAGAGTTGTGTCCCACAACGGTTCGAAGGGAGCCTGGGTGAGTGCCTGAAGGACAAGTGGTAGTGGATCAGTGGTCAGTGATCTATCAAGGCCGGAGCAGAAAACTGAAGATAGGGATGCGACCTGTCGCTGAAGGGTGTTGGGACGCCAACCCAGCAGTCAGTCCATCCTGTAGGAAGTCCAGGATGTGGCAAGTCCGTGCACGGAGTGGAGCCACCCCTCTGGCCCGGCACCAGGTGCAGAAGGCCTTCCAAGTGGCATCATAGATTCGAATCGTGGAAGGTCTCCTGGCCACTTGGATCATTAGAATGACCTCCGTCGAAAGACCCTCCTCTGTCATATAGCGCTGCTCAGCCGCCATGCGGTCAATTTGACCCACTGCGGGTCTGGATGTGGTATGGCCCCCTGGTATAGCGAGGTCCTGGAGGGGGGAATCCTCCATGGAGGAGCAACCGACAGGGACAGGAGATCCGCAAACCACGGGTGGCATGGCCAGTGTGGAGCCAGAAGTATCAACTCCACCTACTCCTCCAACATCTTGTTGATGACCCTCTGGATCAAGGGGAACGGAGGGAAGACATAAAGAAGGGCATTGACATCGAAGGGCATCCTTCCCTTCTGCGCCTGGAGACGTGTACCTTGTGTAAAACCGAGGGACCTTTTTGTTGTTGGTGGTGGTGAAGAGGTCGACCACTGGTGCTCCGAACCGTCGGGTGAGCTCCCAGAAGTGGGTTGGATGTAGTTCCCACTCCGCATGATCCACTTGTGACCTGCTCAGCCAATCTGCCGTGACGTTGTCGGTGCCTGCGATGTGTTCGGCCCGAATGGAGAGGAGATGCTCCTCCGCCCAAGATAACCGCAGCTGAGCCTCCTTCATTAACTGTTTGGACCGGGTTCCGCCCTGCCTGTTGATGTGGGCTTTGGCTTTTTTCTGTTCTAGATCTGAATCCTCGTCATCTGACAGCTCAGAGTCTGAAGGGTCTGGCTCTCCTCATCCTCTGAGGAGGAGCAGCTGACTGAAGATCCCTGGGAACTTTCCTCCTGTTCTGGGACTGCCCTAAATTGGTTTTGTGACCTTGTCTTCTTTTTGGCTGTCTTACGTCGTGGCACGTCATAACCGCAAACGTCAAAAGCGTGCCGACAACACCACGGCGCTAAAACCGCGATGTCAAAAGCGCGCCGACAACAGCGCGCCGACA